TGCCCCTCGCTTAGGAACACTGAGGCAAAGAACTCGTTGAGGAGTTCAGCCTTGTCCCCCCTGTCCGTCACCAATTGTTTCTGCCCATTTAGCAGGGGTCCTATTCCTCCCTGGGCCTTCCTTTTACTCCCTATATATCTAAAAAACAATTTCTTGTTGTCCTTTACTTGGGATGCCATCCTCAGCTCCATGGTAGCTTTGGCCCGTCTGACTGCCTCCCTACAAGCACGAGCAGAGGAGGTATATTCGTCTTTGGTGATCTCTCCCTGTTTCCACTTCTTATGTGCTCCCCTTTTGGCCCTTAGGCTGCCCTAGATTTCTCTGGTCAGCCAGAGAAGCCTCCTGGCCCCTTTCCCTCTTTTTCCTTGAATCGGGATCGTCTCCCTTTGTGCCCGAAGGATCATTTCCTTAAGGCACAGCCACCCTTCTTGGGCTCCCATCACTTCAAGGAGGGTGATCTAGGCAGCTCTTGACCAGCTCATGAAATGGGTGGATGAGAACCTGATGGTGTTGAACACCGACAAATGCAAGGCTCTCTATCTTGGAAAAGAAAACCTGCAGCATGCTTATAGGCTTGGTAGTGCTACACTGGCCAGCATTACAGACAAGAGGGACTTGGGGGTCATGACTGACCACAAGATGAACATGAGTCTGCAATGTGATGCTGTGGCTAGTAAAGTGAGCAAAATGCTGGCTTGCATCCATAGATGCTTCTCAAGCAAATCCCGGGACGTCATTCTCCCCTTGTACTTAGCCTTGGTGAGGCCGCAGCTGGAGTACTTTGTCCACTTTTGGTTCCTCAATTAAAAAAAGATGTGGAGAATCTTGAGAGAGTGCAGAGGAGAGTCACGTGCATGATCAGGGGTCAGAAACACAGACCTTATGAAGAGAGGCTGAGAGCCATGGGACTGTTCAGCCTGGAAAAGCGCAGGCCCAGGCGTGATCTGGTGGCCACCTATAAGTTTATACAGGGTGTTCACCACGACCTGGGGGAACACGTGTTCACAGAGCGCTCCAAATGATGACAAGATTGAACGGTCACAAACTCCTCCATGACCGATTCAGGCTGGACATGAGGAAGAACTTATTTACTGTCCGACCCCAAAAGGTTTGGAATAGACTGCCACCAGAGGTGGTTCAAGCACCAACTTTGAACGCCTATAAGACACATTTGGATGCTTATCTTACTGGGATCCTATGACCCCAGCTGACTTCCTGCCCCTGGGGAAAGCGGCTGGACTCGATGATCCTTTGGGGTTCCTTCCAGCCCGAATGTCTATGAAATCTATGAAATCTATGAAATCCAGATCAGCCAAAAAGCAACAGAATCATAGATCTTTAATTGATTCCCCATTATACTCTATGGCCAAATCTCCAAATGGCTGAATCATTTCCAAATCTATTCCAAATTGATTTGGAAGGTCCAGATTGATTCACAAAGCCTACCTCTTCTAGCAATTTGATTCAGATGTGTAGCTTTGGGCTCTGAATCATCCAAACCATCTCCGAATCCAAATTCTAATCCAAAACTTTGCACAGCACTAATAGGTATATCTATATAGATACACACACACACACACACACACACATCTATCTATCTATCTATCTATCTATCTATCTATCTATCTATCATAATTTTTCAAGCCAAAAGCTAAACATTCTCTAGCAACTTAATGTTTTGGTCAAAAATGGAGACCAAACTCAGGCCAAAAACTGAGACCCTCCCACAAACCATTTGCTGAAAACCATTAAAAAAATCAACTGAAAATTTGAATTTTAAGGAAAGCAGATGGTGTGCAAACTATTTTTTTTTTATCCTGGAAACTGAGTTTCTGTTAAAAAAAACAAAGTATCAAAATATCAATGTATCAATGGAAAAAAGTTTATATTTACATCCTTTTGCAAACAGGAAATTAAATTGTGTATTCTTTCAAATACACAGACTTGGCTTTCAGTGTGAGTGAGTACTTACAATATGCTACTCAATAGTTCCCCCTTTTTTCTATCCAATCGTATTTGGTAATCATCTGATGTGACTCTATTCAGAGCATGCTTAATGGACTTGATTCTTTTCAGCCATGCAAGGCAGCTGTCAAATGATCCAAATGTCTCCTCTGTGGGTTGCAGTTGTCGCAGGATGGTGTTCAGTGCATCCAGAGATAGGAACTGAAATGACATAGAAGAAACATTTAAGAAGTGACATTTTTGTTGTTAGGTAGAAGGGAACGGGGGCCAGGGGCAGGGGCAGATCCAGGGTGGTCCAGTGATGCAGCTGCGCCTCTTTGGATTCCTCCTCCACGCAAAATTTAAAACCAACCGTCTGGCAGTGGCAGCAGATGTTCAACCAATGAAGCTAGCTTTTTTTCTGTAATTCTGATGTCTGGTAGCTGCTCCTGGTAATCTAGCCCCTCTTTCACAGTCCTGCAGACCTTTTTTATCTCTAGCTAAAAACAATAAATCAGGTATGGATATGTTAATTTGGGCAAACTAACTCAGGTGTGGAAATAACTCAGTGAGGCACAGGATGCACTACCAAGATGTTCAGGAACACTAGATTTTAGTTTTTTGAATCTGAAACATATACATTTTATTCAGATGACTACAAGATTAATGAAACACTATCTTTTTATTATTTTTGCAGAGTTAGGTTGTCAAGATATGATATAGCAAATTAGTGCACATTCTGACAAAGTTATATTTGTTTTTGCTATGATCTTAAACTGAATAATATAGCTGTAGGCCTCTAGCATTTGAGTAAATCATCTAGTTTCTTTCTAAATGGAGAAAAATATGTTGTGTTGCATGAGCTTCTATATTGCAACATCTGCCACCATTTCTTATAATCCTAGTCTCTAGTTGAACTGTAACCCTCCTCGCCCCCCCCCCCCCCCAAAAAAAAAAAAACCCGCAACAAAACAAAAGAAAAACAAACCAGAACAGGTACAGGGGACAGAAAAATGCACTGTAGCTGAGCATACCCACTGGGCACATCTTCATGAGACATAGTTGATTAATTAACTAATCACAGTAAACGTCTCAGCATCTACACGTGCACCCCTATCAGGGCGCACAACGATAGTATACTCCACAGCAGGGTAGTACTTGTAAAATATAAATACTACCCTGCTGCCAAGTTTGGTTGTTTTTTTCTTGGTGTGTGTGCACAGCAGTGCACATGTAGATGCTGCCTCAGGTCCTGGGGCACAGGGTGCTTCAGTGTGGGGCTATCCATCAGGAAACCCCTCAGCTGAAGCACCGTCATGCCTCACCTAGCCACTTTGCAGCATGTGGAGCCTGGTACAGCAGCCTGGGCGGGCAGGGGACCCAGGGGGTCCCCAGGGAGTCACCCTGCCCGCCCAGGCTGCTCCCCAGCTTGTCCCTCCACAGCACGTGGAGGCCATGAGTTATGGTTAGGTGCTGGACCTCAGAGGCAATCTGGGGGGAAGAGAGGGCCATCATTACCACTGCCAAGGGCATGACGGGCAACAGGCAGAACTAGGTAATCTATGAGTGGATTGCAGCTCTGACTGTAGTTTGCAGGCACCATTTAACTGGCTGCAGATCCAGACCAAAATTAAGTCTTTGAAGTCACTGTGTGTAAGGGACAGAGACACCAACAAGTTCTTGGGTGAAGACCATTGTTCCCTGCTGTGAGGGCTGCCCCAGATCATCAAGGAGGACCATACCATTGCTCCCCAGCACACCATGCACTGCCCACTCCCATGCCTGATGCAGTGTGATGACAGCAATAAAAGAGAAAGTCATGGTGATGAAGCCTCTCAGTAGCTACCTGTTGTCATGCAGGAGCCAGAGGATATCTGTTCTCTGGACTCATTCTCCAGCCAGACTCTAACCCTGACCCTGACCCTGATCCCAGTGGCGCAAGTCCAAACTCAGATCTATGGAAACACACAGGATGGAGACAGCTCTGATGATATCCTCATTGATTTAAGGGATGCAGACAACCCAGGACCCACTGCTGATGAGTCTCAGCAAGTCTGGGGCAAGGGAAAGGGTGGGTGGTAGTGTTTTTGAGAGCTGGGAATAGGGATTGTCACATGGCTTGGGGGTGCCTCTGGGTTTTAGGTTCTGGTGTGTCTCATGGTTTGGGAGTGCCTTTGGAAGCTAGGCTAGGCACTGGGGTTGCATTTACTGCTAATGCCCTGCTCCCTCTGGGATTAACCAAGAGAGAGAGGGCCCTCTTGCCAGACTTCTAGTAGTAAATGACAGTTGTGCCTGTCAGAGGTGGCATTAAACCTTAATGCATGACTGCTCAAATCTCATTTTGGCAGACAAACTCTTTGGGTAGAGGCAATATCTTTTATTAGACCAACTAAGTAGTTGCAGAAAATTTGCTCTTTGCAAGCTTTTGAACACACCTGCCCTTCTTCAAGCAAAAAAAGAAATTGAAAGTGGTGAGAGAAATTAAAATGGTCAGAAAGCTCTCATGTATGAAAAAGGACACTTGTGTGTGATAACTGCCAAAGACGTGTGTGTACCTGAAGAAGGATGTGTGTGTCCGAAAACTTGCAAAGAACAACTTTTTTACAACTACTTAGTTTTTGCAACTAAACAGCCTGGACTAAATATTAATATCACGCTTAAACCCACCCACCCCCTGCCCCCCAGCCTGTCTGCCATCTGATAATGCCAGATAACCTGCCTGAGTTTGTCTCTACAGCTCCTCTGCATCTGCATTCTCACATAATAGCTTTCCAAAGACTGGCTTTTTTTTTATGCGTGGGAGATTTCTGATCATCTTTAATTTCTCTCACCATTTTCAATTTCTTTTTTTGCCTAAAGAAGGATGTGTGTGTCTGAAAGCTTGCAAATAACAACATTTTTGCAACTATTTAGTTGGTCTAATAAAAGATATCACCTCTAGCCAAAGAGTTTGCCTGCCTTTGTGTTTAGACCAATACAACTACAGCCAGGATAATAGGCCTATGTGAATAAGCTACTATTCAATTCGCAGATTTGATTGTTTTTCTGATTTGATTAAGCCGAATCGATTTGGAAAAGATCCGGAAGCAATTCAGGAATTTGATGATTCAGCCATAGGGTATAATAGTGAATCAATGAAATATCTATAACTGTGTTGGTTCTTGGCTGATTCAGAGGAAAATTGCAGGGGTGATAGACTCTTCTGAGAGCATAAAGCTTGCCAAACTTTAAGTTGATAGGTGCAGGGGTTTCTGGGAAACTGCACTTCAAAATCCTGAAAGCAAAACTCATGCCACATGTGTGTGTCAAGCCACAGCGGGGTGACAACTGCAGGGATGGTAGCCCCTGCTGAGGCCATAAAGCCTGCAAACTTTCAAGGAGAGAGGTGCAGGAGGAGTCTGGGATCTGGGGCCCTGCACCTCTGGCCGCAGGCAGGCAAAACTCATGACATGGGTGCTTGTGGGACTGTGTGTGTGTTCAGGTGCACCCTTCCTGGTGCTGGGGCCTCTGCACAACATGGCAGTGTGCTCCATGAGGTCACCTCCTCCCCTACAGCCTCATCTCAGTCCACCACTGTAAATGATGGCATGTCAAAATAACTTAGCTGGCTCAACAGCAAGGCAGTGGCCCTGGACTTCAGGAGGGCAGATTTCAATGAGGTAAGGAGAATAGTTGGGGAGGCACTGAGGTCACCAGTGGGGAGAGGAGTCGGGTGTCCAAGAAGAGTGGATCCTCCAAGCCCAAAGGGAGGTAATCCCAACATGGATCAAAGAGGGAAAGGAGGCAAGAGGGCACAAAAACCCCCATGGCTCACCAAAAGCATACTGGAACGTCTCTTAGCTAAAAAGGAGGCATACACACAATGGAAGGGAGGGGCCATCACCAGGGAGGACTATACCTCAGTTGCTCAGGGCTGTAGGGGGGTGGTCAGCAAGGCCAAGGCGGAGATGGAACTGGGACTAGCTACTTAGATCATAGACAACAAGAAGTCCTTTTTTAAATACATAGCAGGTAAAAAGAAGGTACCGGGTAACGTGGGGCTTCTGCAAGACATGCTAGGCAATCTGGCCATCACACCAGACAGCTAAGCTAACCTATTTCATAGTTTCATAACTGGTAGGGTTGGAAGGGACCTGAGCAGATCATCAAGTCCGACCCTCTGCCGTGGGCAGGAAAGAGTACTGGGGTCAAATGACCCCGGCAAAGTGTTCATCTAGCCTCCTCTTAAAGACCCCCAGGGTAGGAGTGGGCACCACTTCCCTTGGAAGTTGGTTCCAGATCCTAGCTGCCTAAAGTAGCGCCTCCTGATATCTAGCCTGAACTTACCCTCTGCCAGCTTGTGACCGTTATTTCTTGTCAATCCTGGGAGTGCTCGGGGGAACAGGGACTCCCCCAATGCCTGCTGGTCCCCTCTGACTAGTTTTCTTTGCCTAGACAATTTCTTTGCCTCCATTTGTCTGAGCAGGGACCGGGTCACCCCCCACACTGGGACCCCCATAGGACCCAGGGAAGGCACATCCAGGCCTAGGATCAGGGAACTTCTGGTGGGTCTAGATGTGTTAAATCAGCAGGTCTGGATGATCTCTACCCCAGAGTGCTGAGGGAATTAGCAGAGGTCATTGTGAGACCCCTGGCATGGCTTTATGAGCACTCGTGGTGCTCTGGTATGGTGCCGGAGGACTGGAAAAGGTCCCATGTGGTTCCCATTTCCAAAAAAGGGAGGAAGGAGGACCCAGAAAAATATTGGCCAGTCAGCCTTACCTTGATCCTGGGTAAGCTTTTTGAGAGAATTATCCTGGCGCATGTCCGCAAGGGGCCAGCAGGGAAGATTATGTTTAGGGGCAATGAACATGGGTTCATTCGAGGCAGGTCCTGTCAGACCAACCTGGTGGCCTTCTATGACCAGGGCACAAAATCCTTGTACGCAGGTGTAGCAGTGGACGTAGTCTTTTTGGACTTTAGGAAGGTCTTTGACACTGTCTCTCACCCCATTCTCATTAAAAAAAAACTAGGAGACTGTGGTGTTGACACCTACACAGTCAAATGGGTCACTACCTGGCTGGAGGGCCGCACCCAGAGAGTGGTGGTGGATGGGACTTATTCAACCTGGAGGGATGTGGGCAGTGGGGTCCCCCAGGGCTCGGTCCTCGGGCCCGCACTGTTCAACATATTCATCAGTGACTTGAACGGGGGGGTAAAAAGCACCCTGTTCAAATTCTCAGATGACACTAAGATGTGGGGGGATGTGGGCATGCTAGAAGGGAGGAATAGGCTGCAATCAGACCTAGACAGGTTACAGGTGTGGGCGGATGAGAACAGGATGGGAAGAACCAGCAGCATACCTACAGGCTGGGGAACTCCCTTCTCAACAGTGCAGAGGCAGAAGAGGATCTTGGAGTCATTATTGATGCCAAAATGAACATGGGCTGACAGTGTGGCGATGTGGTCAGGAAGGCCAACCGTACCTTGTCATGCATCCACAGATGCATCTCAAGCAGGTCCAAGGAAGGGATCCTCCCCCTCTACGTGACACTGGTCAGGCCGCAGTTGGAGTACTGCGTCCAGTTCTGGGCGCCGCACTTCAGGAGGGATGTGGACAACATACAGATGGTCCAGAGAAGGGCCACCCGCATGATCAGGGGGTAGCAGGCCAGGCCCTACGAGGAGAGGCTATGCGACCTGAACCTGTTCAGCCTCCACAAGAGAAGGCTGAGGGGGGATCTGGTGGCCATTTACAAACTAGTCAGGGGGGCCCAGCAGGCTTTGGGGGAGTCCCTGTTCCCTCGAGCACTCCCAGGAGTGACTAGAAATAATGGTCCCAAGCCGGCAGAGGGTAGATTCAGACTAGACAGAGACTAGACAGACCCCTAGCCGGGGTCGTTTGACTCCAGCATCCTTTCCTGCCCACGGCAGGGGGTCGGACTGGATGATCTGCTCAGGTCTCTTCTGACCCGACCAACTAGGAAACTAGGAAACTATGAACAGCAATACCCCAGCAGCATCTGAGGTAGCCACATACAGCTGTCACAGAGTCTTTCTTTTTTATAAAGGAATTGACAGCAAGAAGTAGAGATGTTGTGTTGGATATATGTTACTCGTGGTGTGTGATGGCTTATCTTGTGTTTTTATGATTATATATTTATTATGAAAAAAAAAATAGTTAGAAAAATATATCTGAGGAAGCTTTTGGGTTGAAAAACCCTTTGTCAGTCTGAGGAAATACATGCAGTTGGTGTGTCTCCTGGTCCTGGATTGAAGGAATAGTAGAATAGCCAGAGGCTGGGCTGGCATGGATGGCATGCAATGCAGGCAAGAAAGCCAGTCAGTGAAAATGGAAATGGAGGCGTCATGGGGTGAAGGACAGGCTGGCGGTGGAGAGGGGAGGGAAAGGGGATGGTAAACGTGCAGAGGTGCCTGGGGCGTCAGAGGTCCGGCAGGTCGCAGTGTGCCAGAATGCCACTGTGTACATTGAGTCGATGAGTTTCTGTACCGACTACCTAGGAGGCTGATGAAGTGCAGTCCATAGGCCCAGCTCTGAAAAGTAGTTTGGACATTCAAACAAGCACCTAACCTCATCACCAGGTTATCATCTTCTGTCAAGACACCCCAGAGACCAAGATCATTGGACTTTGTGTATCTAATTTCTTCAGTAGGGATTTAAGGCTCTGTAACGTTCCCAACTGTACTAGTCATGTTCACATCTGTATAATCTATCCTAGTAGAAGAGGTGGATGCCTGCGGTTGATGTGGTCCTGGCTGACTATCTTGAGTATGAGGCCCCTCCTTTATTACAGTGAAATAACTGTCAACTTTTGACAATTATTTTAACTGCCCTTCAACGAGCTTCTGCTTTTTTTTTTCTCTTCTGACATCCACTTTCAAAAGTCCTCTTCAGTTTTAACCACCAATTATGTCAAACTTGAAACTTCGTGTTACAGTATAACATCAGGAATCTGGAGATCAAATATCCGGCATTCTCAAAAATGCAGGCAAGAACCTGCCGGTGCTATTGGTGTTGAGCCAGCTAAGTTATTTTGACCTGCCATTGTTTACAGTGGTGGACTGGACCAGACCGAGGCTGTAGGGGAGGAGGAGGAGGACTCATGGGGGCGCACACACACAAAAAAAAGTTCAAAATATCTCACCATTTTAGTTGTCAGTTTGAGGTATGATTTCCCAGAAGCCTCTGCACCTATCTCCTTGACACACGGCAGGCTTTGTGGCCTAAGTGAGAGCTGCCATCACAGCAGGTTTCACCCTGCTGTGGCTTAACAAACACACACGTGACATAAGTTTTACTTTCAGTAATTTGAGGTGGAGTTTTCCAGAAACCCCTGCACCTATCGCCTTGAAACTTTGCAAGCTTCATGCCCTCAGCAGAGGCTACTACCCCTGCATGTTTCAACTGAATCAGCCAAAAAAGAACAAAGTTATAGATATTTCATTGATTCCCCATTATACACTATGGCTGAATCTCTGAATCACCGATTTTTTTCTGAATCAATTTGGGAGCTCTGAATTGATTCAGAAAGCCTAAAGCTTCTAGTGATCTGATTTGGATTCATAGATTCGGCCTCTGAATCTTCCAAATCATCTCTGAATCCAAATTATGATCTGAAGCTGAGCACAACCCTACAAAATACCCAGAGCTCATTCTGGCATTAACACTGCTTAACGTGCCACCGCAGTTAGTGTAGCCTACTAGTATTTCCAACACAGCCCAAGGCTTGCATCATACAGAGCACATGAGATGGCATGCAGAAGGTTGAACAGAAGAAGAACAAAACAACTGAAGTTCAAAATATCTCACCATTTTAGTTGAGTCCTCACTGTACATTTTTTGCAGCTCACCAGTTATAGACTCTTCATTCTTTACCAAATCAATGAATAATTGATAAGTGTCTCGTAAGTAGAAATATTCAACGTGCAGCCAAAGCAAGGAAAACTTTAGATCATTTCTTGCCACAGAGGAGTGGAGTTTTTTTGCACCAGTTATAAGGACATTTGACAAAACCTGGTAGGAAAATAAAATGTATTATTTTTACTCAGCAGTAACCACTGAATTGGGTTCATTATTGCTGTTGCAGTTCATGAAAAATGTATTCTATATTTTAGGGTTTCCCCAAATTTTGATACTAGGGGCACACTTTTTTTCTGGGTTAAAATCGGTAGCACACTTCACTCACCCACCCAAAAAGGGGAGCAGGGAACATCAGTGGCAGTGCAAATTCCATTTGCAGATAGTTTCATAGTTGTTAGGGGCTGGAAGGGACCTTACAGATCATCAGGTCTATCCCCCTTGTACCTGGGCAGGAAAGACTGCTGGGGTCAGATGACCCCAGCAAAATGGGCATCAAGACACTCACTTTTGGAAGATCACCAGGATGGGTGATGGTACCACCTCTGGGGGAGCCTGCTCCAAATCCTTGGTACTAGACTTGTAAAGAAGTTTTTCCTTATGTCTACCCTGAAGCGATCCTCAAATCAATTTGTTCCTGCTATTTCTTGTCCTCCCCTGTGGGGCTTTGGTGAACAGATGCTCCCCAAGGCCTCGATGTACACTCCTGATATACTTGTAGGCTGACACCAAGTCTCCCCTGAGTCTTCTCTTCTCCAGGCTGAACAATCCCAAACCTTTCAGCCTCTACTTCTATGACCTGGTTTCAAGACCTGTAATTATGTGCATGGCTCCCCTTTTGACTCTCTCAAGCTTCTCCACAATGTTCCTGAAGTGCGGCACCCAGAACTGAATGCAATACCCAAAATTGGATGCAGTACTCCAGCTGCAGTCTCACCAAGGCCAAGGATAGTGGGAGGATGACATCCTTAGCTCTGCTTGAGATGCCTCGGTGGATGCATGCTAGTGTTTGATTAGCTCTGCCAGCATTGCACTGGGGGCTCATGTTCATTTTTTTGTCTATCATAACACTCAGGTCTCCTTCAGTTATGGTGCTGGAAAGCATAGCACTGCTGAGCCTGTTGTGGATTATTTCTTCCTAGATGGAGCACTTTGCATTTCTCTATATTAAGCAACATCAGGTTGCATTTACTGCTAATACAAGGTTGCATTTACTGCAAAAATACAAGATGTCCCATCTTGGTGCAGCTCCTTCAAAGCTGGAAGCTGCATAGTGATTTTAAGTTTGCTGTTATGAACTAAGCTTCCTATTGTGTTTTACATCTTGTTACTGTATCTTTATATATAAATTGTATTTTTTTTTATGATACTTGGATGTATGGATGAATGATTGTAGAGAGATTGGTAAAAGCAGGATGAACTATGTGTTAACAAACAAGTTACCACATGGTGAGCTTGGCTGAGAAGAGGCTGAAGAGGTCAATTCAAAATCCAGTTTATACAGGCAAAGAAGATACGCAGGAAAGACAAGATCAAAACAAGGTTTTCAAAATGTCTTGAGGCTGAAGACTCTCTTTTGTGATGGACACAGCCTATACCAGTGATAACAGAGGCAAACAGAGTGATTGAAGAGCAACACCTCGGACAATGATGTGTGAGCTTGACCACTCAGCAGAGTGGAAAATCACTAGAGTCCAAACAAAGAAGGCACAGAGTCAAGAAAGGCAGTGCTGGGCACCCAACACCAACGTGATAAACTATAAAAGGAAGAGACATAGCAGCAAGAGGTTGGGTAACACTCTGCAAACTTCACTGGAGCACAGACACACGTCTGTAGCCCTGGCTCCCTTATCTCATACTTCTAGGCTGGCCACCTAGTGCAGTACTGAGCAACGGACTTTGGTAACTGTAACATCTGCAGACGCAGTGGGAGTGAGTGTGTGTGTGTGTGTGTGTGTGTGTATGTATGAGCGCTCTTTTGACTATTATAATCAATAAACATGGTATCTTGCCTTATCCCCCTCGTGAGGTCTCGCTCATCATTTGAGCAATTAATTATTTGTGCAACACTACCGGCAGGGAAGAAGCAGCACCAGCGTGGGCAGGGTGGGTGAAAGCCCTTGGGAGCTGGTGTCAGGCTGAACTGGGGCAGCAGGCTCTCCAACGAGATGCACAGAACCACTTTTATGCACACCCCAGGACTCAGGCAGCAAACTGTATACAATCTCTGTGTTGCCCTGGGAAGGTGTGGGGTGCAGGCATGGCTAGGGTGGAGATAGGAGGTGAAGGGATACTTGTTGGCAAAGGCTCCCAGGAGCTCAGGATGGCGGGGCAGGGGCTAGGCAAGAGGGCTCGAGTGGGACATGTTCTACTGAAAATCCTTGCTAAAATGGAGGTAAGGTTGAGGACACTTTTTAATATAAGAGCACTGACAGGGTATAAGGCTTGCTCCTCAAAAAAATAAAAAGAGTTTGTCAAGAAAGTCTTTATCTTTGTGCAGACAGTTTTGACCCTTTATCAAAACTTTATCATAACAGCAGAAACTCCCCATGCCTAGAGAAGGGTGACTGCCCCTGAAAGCTTGCCAAGAACCTTTTCCCAACTACCGTACTCAGTTGGTCTAATAAAAGTTATCACATCTACCCTAAGAACCTGGCCTGCCTATGACCCTCGATTGAGCATTAAGAAACTAAAATATTTCTACAAAAAAAGGAGAATATTTATGAGGAATTCTGGTGTGCTTTAAAAATGTAGGTTTCCCCAGAAAACATTTTCTACAGAAAATGTGGGTCTACCACACTTTAAAAAAAGCCAACAGTGCTCCATTAAATTCAGAAGTAGAGTTAAACATAACAGGAACTAAGGAAATATCTGGAAAAAGTCTTAAGTTAACTACATTTTTGGTTAAAAAGTATCTGCTGGTTAGAGAGGAAATTTAGAGGTCAAAACAGCTAGACAAAGCTAGGGTGATGTAGTTGGGGCTGGTCCTGCTTTGAGCAGGGGGTTGGACTAGATGTGACCTCCTGAGGTCCCTTGCAACCCTCATTTTCTATGCTTCTGAAATTCCTAACTTCTATAAACCTGGCTATATTTAAAAATCCTGATCTCCAGCAGTCCATTTACCTTATAAACCTCAACATCTTGTCCAGGAAGAGCCATCCTCACAAAATCACTGGCGTAAAACTGTATCATGTCCATGTCATCGCCATCTGGCATTGGCACATTCTGGGTTGAGCTTTGAAACATCTCTATAGAGTCTGGTGTGGGGTCCCTTGGAAAACCTGGGTCACCCAAGAATGAGCAAAGGAGTTTAGTCACACCACACCGTGCCAACAGAAAACACAGTTTTGTCAACATGCAGGTGAATGGGCGCTGGTAAGAGTGCACATAGTGGGGTAATGGGCCATCAAGGTTTCTCTATAATGCAGAGTTAATTATTAGAGGGAGACTGCAAGGTCATCAGAGGCTGTAGGCCATCCTCATTGGCTGTGAACAGCAGCAAGCGCAGTGAGTTCCCTCTTCAAAGCACAAAGGGCAGGAGTTTTGTCAAATGTCCAACAGGGCCACCTCATTGCCACCATCAAGAACAGTTCCAGACTCTCTCCACCAGCAGCAGCAGGTGCTATGATTTCATGGCCTGTTGGTCTGCAAGTCTAGGACAACAGGGACCCACAGACTTTGCTCCAGACAACTGTCCTAAGGCCCAGAGTGCATCTTCCAACAAATAAGTGACACACTCATGGATGCCTTGCATTTGTCTGTGTGATAACATCTGGCTATGTGATAACACAACTCTGACTCCAGATGAGGAGTTGCTAGCCTGGACTGAATCCAGAGGGGATGCACTGGTGCAGTTCACTCCTTGCTTTCAGACCAGGCTGTGGAAACAGTATCCAAGTATTGGGACTATTTTCCAGTCCCTGAATCAGGTAAGGATTCCTCCCCTCTTCTTTTCCCCTCTCCTTCCATACTCAGTGGCACATCCCCTTACCTCTGCACCCATTTCCCTGCTTCACCTGCTTCTGCCAGAGTTGCACCTGCCCCACTCCAGCTGAGCTGTCAGAGGAGCTAGACTCAGCCCAGAATAGCAGCAGTCCTGGCAGTGGCCAGGTTCCTCTTCCCTGTTTGGTTTCCCCAGGTGGCTCCCTATGCTCAGGGAGGGGAAACACGTCTACCGACATGACCGCTTCCACTGCCCGTAACTCAATCCTGCTCCCTGAACAGCCAATATGGATTGGGACAGGAGCAGCTCTGCAACTCCCCCTGGCCCCAGGTTAGCTGGGGAAAGTGGGAGTAGTGGGTAGGGGAAGGGGTGAAAAGGAAGGGTGGGGGAAAGTAAGGCAAAGCATGATGGGGGCCTGTGGAACCAAATTCAGGAAGTTTAAAAAGTCCCTGGCTGCTTTTCTTGCAGCATGGTCTTCCAGTCCTAGTGTGGGAGTGGGGAGGGGAGGAAATTGGGATTGGGAGGTGGGGGTGCATCTACCCCTGCAGCACGGATTACTGCTTCCACACCCCTTTTGCAAAATTCAAGACCTGTCCATGTCCCCAGGTGAACTGTTTTAATGTTTTTCTCCCTTTTCTGTTATATACCAGCACCTTTGAGCCTGGATATGTCTCACTTCATCTCCCAGGCTTTGGTTCTCATAGGGAACTTTAACTGGAGTGCCTCTGAGAGCTGCTCTAAAGTGCTGCAGCGTCTCATGTGTCAGCATCCCTGTGCTTAAAAATGATGGCGTGGGCGCTTGAACTGAAGCTTGTTCAATGAGCTTTAGTTCAAGCTCCCCCAGTGCCATTTTTAAGTGCAGGGACACTGATAAATGAGATGCAGGAGGCTGCTGGAGCATGGTAATTACCACGCTCCAGCAGACTCAATGAATCGAGTCTGCTTTGACTTGCTGTAGTTACAGCACGTCGGAACAGCCTCCGTGCTTGTGTACAGGCACCCATAATACCTCTGTGTCTACTGTATACATTGGGTTGGTCTAATACAAGATATCAAATTCACCCAAGGAACCTTGTCTGCCTATGTCCTTAGACCAACATGGCTACAACCCAAACCCCTACTGTATACATCCTCATTCAATTAATCCAGATCCACCCTGGCATAAACCAGAGTAAAACAAAGACACAAATATTATCCTACGATAATTTGTTTCAATAGTTGCTGAAAGTCTGAAGTCACCTTTTGCCTGATGGACCGTTTCCCATATCTCATCCAAGACAGCTTTCAAAACCCAGCTGAATGGGAACTGGCAAGCCACATACGTGTTTGGGTCTTCAGTCATTGATAATACAGCAATCTTAGCATCAGGCTCTCTTGAATAAGAAGAATGGATATTTCTGGTGAAAGTATGCATTAGAACCGTATGTATATTGTTTTCTGGCTAGATCCTGATATTTAGGGGTTGGCACAGACATCCTCTCTCTGAAAACACCAATACCAATACAACACTGTAAATTGATTGCATTCATACACAGGCATGCTAACTTCAGTCCTGGGAAGACTGTGAATTTAACATTTTTTTTTCTTCCAAACTAATATACAGTTCTGTCAAACTGGAAACTGCTTCCAGGAAACGGGCTTTTTCAACAAATGTCTTGATTCCAAACATTTTTTTAAACAGAAACTTTAATTTTGTAAATAAGAAAATTCATGTTTTGATTCAGTAAGAAATTTTGTTTTCAATTTGTAGCTAGTTTATACTAAAGAAAGTTTCAGCATTTTAAAGAAAGTTTCAAACTGAAAGGATCCATTTCAGTGGACTGAATGGCTTCCCTTACAGGAGATGCTTACTGCACAGTGCTTATGACTACTGCGCAGTAGAGTCCCGTGGCACAAGTCATGATGCGACACCACTGCACAGGAGTAATGAGCCACTGCGCAGTCAGCACCACCAGGGAGCTATGTGGGGATGCCACGGTGCGGTAATGCTGGTTACTGCACAGTCCTTTAATACTTGTGTATGCAAGTACTAAATGACTGCATAGTAACAAGTGCACAATCAGTGTCCTGTGTAGATGCAGCCACTGTGAATGGTTTTTGATTGATTAGTTTTATGACAGAAAAACAGACATTGCAAAAAATCTGGTAGGACAAGAAAACCCTTTGTCTTCATCTGTGACTATAGGGCAAATCCCCACAAGCAGAAATGTGCCTTTCCCCAGGGACAAACAGCAGCAGCGTAACATGTGCCACTGCTACTTGTCCCGGGGGAATGTCCATACACACGTGGTCAGGCTTGTGGCATGTTGCCTAGGTGGGGTAGGGTAGACTGGAGCGGTGACAGCGGCTGGCCCCAGCAGCCTTACCTAGGGTCCTGGGGGCTTCTGGGGGCTGCAACCACAGAGATCCATCAGCAGGCAACCTGGAGTGTGGCTTCGGCTGTCCAGGCTCCAGTTTTGGGCAGTGCACGCTACTGCCACATACACCACCCTGCTTTTTTTAAGTGGGGTGGGGTTTTTTGTTTTTTTTTTTACACTGTAATCTCCTGGTGTCAACCCACCTCCCCCCTGCACTGCAAATTAGCAGTGCGGTGAACACCTGTATGTGTGACGTGTGCATCAGAGATGGGTCTGTGGCGTCACATACTGAACATGCACATTCATCTGCACATGCCCTGACAGTCTGATCTCTTATAGTGAGTTGACCCTTACTTGCTGGTGTACTTAATCTTCAGAAATGATTCATCTTGGAACATCTGGAGCCACAGGCTGGACCGTGGAGTCTCTTGAGAGATACAGTTCAGATTGTTGTTTGCATCAATTACTGCTAGAATTTGGGCAAACACATTTACCATAATATCTTCTACATAAATCCAGAGTGTGTGCCTTAAAAAGAAGGGAAAACATGTCCTTTAAAATGAGTTTTCTCAACTCTTTCCAACCACCCCCAACTTTGTGTCTGCAGCAGGACAGCTGTGTAGGCATAGGATCTCCAGCATGTCCAGTTAACAAAACATAACTAAATTCCAACCTCTATGTTCAACATGAGATAAACCAAGAAGCAAAACTGTTATTGGACCGATGGACTCCTGCTAGAGCAGTGGTTCCCAAACTGTGGCTTCCCAAACCTCAAATTGGGAGTGAGGGCCATGCTGAGGAAATGGGGCAATAAATGGGGTTATACTGAGGAAAAGTTTAGGAAGCAGTGCTCTAGAGGACTCAGGATACGTTGACTCTGTAGTGTACACGCCCCGTGCATTCCCTGGCAAACCCAGAAGTGGACCAGCTGTACTTCCAGTCCACTTCTGAGATCGCCGCCAAACACACGGCATGGGGGGTGGGGCATGCTTCTGTGAGATGCTCCATCCACCCCAGAATCGCAACAATCACGAGCTGCACCTGGTACCTCGAGGTATGTATAAAAAACATTTAAAGCTGTGTCTATGATTGAATCGCTGATTCTCCAAATCAGCATCAAATTTTCAGATTCAGATTCAGCCAAATCAAATTGAGGACAGTGATCCAAATCAATGAATTGAATCACTGTTCTTGATTTGGGCTGAATCCAAATAGAATAGGGCCCATTTTGCACACCCCCAGTATCCAGCTTTGGATGCTGCAAGACAAGGAAGATGTAAATAAATTGGAAAGAGTTCAGCAAAGCAATAAAATATGACTTGCTAGAAAATATTGGAAGAACTGGAATTATTTAATTTGGAGAGAAGAGGACAAAAGATGGATTTCATAACAATGTTCAAATAACTAAAGGTAGGTTATAAGGAGGGCCAGTGATAGACTATTCGAGGTGACCTCATGGGACAATATGCTATAATTTGAAATTGTAACGTGGGAGATTTATGCTGCATATAAAGATGAACTTTCTCGTGATGAGGGTGGTTAATCACTAAAACAAATTGCTTACAGAGGGCAATCATATCTCCATCACTGGAAGTTTCTGAGACCAGATTATGCAAATACATGGCTGGCTGGGTGAGTTTAGAGAGGGATGATCCTGTTTTGTTTTTTTCCAGGGGGCTGGAGTAGATGACCTTGTGAATTGTTTTCAGACCTAATTTTCTATGATTCTACAGAGGTTGTTACCATATATCAAACTTCTCACTGTCCAATCTGAGACTTTTCCAGTAATCAATTCAATGATGTGACTAGAGCCTATCACCTCTTTTTTGTATTCCAAAAAATGGAGCTCTTTGAAAATCCAATGGTTAATGTGTTGATGCTAGCCAAGAACACAGACATTTACCTGAATGAAGTGCCTTCAAGTATAAACTTTCCAGACATTGCTTGATGGAAGGTCCATTCTTTAGGCTTAAGACTTCTCTCTTCACGTTCTTGTAAAAGGTGACAAATTCTCTTTTTCAATACTCCCATAAAATCATTGGCAACTAGCCATAAACAAAAAAAGAATTACCAAATAAGACTGGTTAAAATTTTCTATGAAAGCATCTTCTCTGTGGATAAAGCGTGGTCAGCTATGTGAAAAATTCTAATAATAAAAGCTTTAATCTGTCTGTCTCTCCATAACACTTTTGAACAACTGTGCATGCCCTGATAAAAGACTTAGTCTGTCTGTCTGTCTGTTCGCAGTGCTTTTGCCCAACTGTGCACACACCGATTGGCTGTGTGGGCTGGGCTGGCAGTTGGGTGGGGCTAGCTGAGCTCAAACGGGAGCCCCTCTGCTGGTGCTGCCTCCTCCTGGAGCCTTCAGTGTGGGACTCCCTCCTCCCACCTCCACAGAGGCAAAAAAAGGAAAAAAAGCTATGAGAATTGGACAAGTGCTTTCGCAGTGCTTTTGCCCAACTGTGCACACACCGATTGGCTGTGTGGGCTGGGCTGGCAGTTGGGTGGGGCTAGCTGAGCTCAAACGGGAGCCCCTCTGCTGGTGCTGCCTCCTCCTGGAGCCTTCAGTGTGGGACTCCCTCCTCCCACCTCCACAGAGGCAAAAAAAGGAAAAAAAGCTATGAGAATTGGACAAGT